TCCCATAGTTTGCTTAGGCAGTAGACTAAGTTATCACTAACTCTACCTTCCTCCAATCTCCTGTTCATTCGATTTTACCCCTTTAGTCATTTATGGTATTACCTTTGACCAGTCGTCTTCTTTTTGCTGATAATGCTGTTCCCTCATCTTTTCCGAGTTTGCTTAGCCAGTATGCAGTGATTGTTGAACTTACTTCCATTTCGAGTGAAGATATTGGGTGAAGAGATTCAAAGGTCGGTTCCACCAGAAGACGACCGCGGATTTTCCGGTGAGTTTTTTTGACTCGTTAGCTTGAATTTGAGTGTGAAGATGATACCTTGCTCTGAAGATGTCCATCATATGACGGACGAAAGCTTAACACGTTTTCACCGGAATCGAAGGTGATTGCCTCGGAGACAGCGTCAGCATAAATCTTCCAGTAAAGCCAATCGACAGCTGGTCAAGAAGAATCCGCCGTCGTCTTCTGGTGGAACCAAACTTCGAATCTCTTCACCCAACACTTCCACTCAAAATGGAAATAATCTCAACAATTATGAAACAAGAGAGTCCTCGAAACCCAACTTTTCTTCGTCTTTATTAGTATGCAGTGAGCCTATTTATATCAAGTAGAACCATCGCATTTGGGGGTTGGAATGCCATAGAAAGTGATAAAAGAGCGAGTGGCCATTTCTAGTTGGCTATTGGTAGATAAGTTGGTTCATATACGTGGTCTGTGAAGTAGAGGCATGACCACGAGATTCACTCGCAGCACAAGCAGCAATCTGCAGCGTCAACTTAGGTTGCCATACCAAATGAGAATCCAGACTTTAGGGGCTTGTTGAGTAGGTCTGGCTTGAGGCAGAGGGTAGAACGACGCCTTGAGTAGCACGGATACGGTGGCAGTGGTGGGGTGAAATCACATAAACCGGCAGATGAGGTCGAGATCCTACAGAGCAAGAGGGGACTTTTATATGACACGAAGGAAGAGGATTGCGGATTGAACCGCAGCCTTGGATCACCACTCCCGGCACAATGGGAGGGAGAGTGAATAGATGTCCAATAGGTCTGGATAAACAAGTACGAAATTGTGATATAGAAGGCGTGATACGAGGATATAGGAAAGGAGAGATACCACAACTGTTTAGCGCACATTTTGTCAGATGTCTCTCTGATGAGTTGTAGTTTGGTGCTAAGACTGGCAAGACTCACTGGAGATGCCGACTACGATGCCGGCGAAACGTCTGTCGGGCGTACCAAGTCCACGGTCCGAATCTGCAAATGATAATGCATGCAATGGACTCCGGACTCGGTGCGAAAACGAGATTAAACAACTTCTAGGTCGGCAAAGTTTATCCATTAGTTGTGGACCTCTCGGCATTCACCACAGTCTTCGGTAGGCATGGGTGCATCAAGTCGGGCCTCAGCATTTCAGCGGTACCGTAGAGGGTAATTCAGTTTGTAGAACCACATAATGGTGCTGCCGAAACGTTGGCAGCCAAAGCAGAGATGAAATTAATGCTCGTGTTGAGCTTACTTCCATTTCGAGTGAGAGTGTTTGGTGAAGGAATTCTAAAGTCTATCCCACCATAAAATGACGGCAGGTTCCTCTTGACCAGCTGTCGATTTGCTTCAGTGGAACATTCTTCTTCGATTCCGGTGAAATCATGTTGAGCTTTCGTCTGTCGTATGACCAACATCCTCACAGTAGGCTATCATCTTTACAGCCAAATGCAAGCTAACGAGTCAAGAAAACTTGATTCTCTCTTCGCCAAACACTTTCACTGGAAATGGAATTATAGAACAAGAAATTTCTTCGCATATACCAAATAATTGTATCCTATGAATACTCAAATTGGGGCCCCCACCACAGGGTTCTGGTCCATGTGTTTGGGAAGTTGCAGCCACTCAGAGAGGTCTGCCTGATGAGACCCACTCAAGTCTCACGCCGTATTAAAATGAGGATTTAGGCAAAACGACAATACTTATTTTCGTATTAGAGTAAAGTTTCGAGACTACCAGTAAATCAGTCATATGAGATGTATTCATCCTATTTCGTCTAAGCTGATGAAGAACTGGTGGTATAATTTTCACACAATGATATGATTTGAACTGAGGTTGTTGT